TAAATCAATATATGTGTATAAACAATTACTAAATCAACCCATCTATTTTATTCATGATCACTTCACATTTGAAAGCTCTTCCTGTATTTATTTATCTTCTAGAGAAATGTATATTCAGGCAATATTTTTACCCCTATTACCCTCCCTTAACTACATCTCAAAAAAAAAAAAAAAAAAAAAATCAGCCAGAATCTCAAAAAAGTTTAACACTTGGGGTACGTTCTTCCAACAACTTTCATATACATGCACAAACATGAATTCTTATTTTACAATGATTAGATGAAACTATACTGTTTCTCTTTAGCCCTTTTTCAATTAATATGCTCTATACATCTTTCTAAGTCAAATATTTATCTTCAAGACTATTTTTATTTTTAATGGCTATGTTGTGCCATTACATGAATACACCAAAATGTATTTAACCAAGTTCCTATTCATGACTAGGTAAGTTTTTCCATTATTTACTGTTATAAACACCGTGAATATGCCCATATCTAAATCTTTTTTTTAATAATGTTAAACATATATTTGGGGGTATATCCCTATAAATGAATACAAACCTTACAGTGTAAGAGATGTGCAAAGATCAGTAAAACAGTCTCTACCCTTGAGTTTAAATCAAAGGAGACAGACACAAACAGGTAACATTGACCATTATCATGTCCATGGATAAAGACAAACAAAATTTCATGGTGCTTCCTAACTGAAACTGCAGCTGTTGCTAACAGAAAAGGCTCAAAGAATACTATTAGACAGTAGCCCAAACTAAAAATCCATTTGCTAGAATTCCAAAGAGTTATTCTAATGCTAAATATTGCCTCATTGGCATTTCAATATGACATTGTTGTTTCTCCTTTAGCAAGCCTTAAAGGAAAGAATCAAACAGAAGCTGCTCAGAAAACCACCTACCCTAAAGGCAGAGAAGTGAGTAAGGTGCAAGGCAGTATATGACACTGGACCTGGACTTCCATCTTTCCTTCCCCGTACTATTTCCAGTAAACAACAGTGAGCTATAGCCATTTTCTTTCAAAAACAACGTGGATTCTCTCCCTGAGACTCTCATTCCTGCACAGATCTGCTTACACATAGTTGTGCTGTGCTGGTATTCATGCCAACTTAGAAGACACAAATAAGAATGAAAAGAAACTTTTTCAGCACCATGATGGGTCAGATACAGATGACATTAACATGGACGACAGACAGATTTTTAAAACCTATTCAACAAAGATGGGTTAACGTGATAACGCAAACAGTCCTGAATCTTATAGTAACATTTCAGTCACAGGCGCATATACAATGGTGGTCCCATAAGATAATAACACCATGTTTTTACTGTACCTTCTCTATGTTAGATATGTTTGGATATACAAATACTTACCGTTGTGTTCCAAATGCCTACAGTATTCAATACAGCAACATGCTGTACAGGTTTGTAGCCTAGGAGGAATAGGCTATACCATATAGCCTAGGTGTGTAGTAAGCTATACCATCTAGGTTTGTATAAGTACACTCCCCTATGATGTTCACACAACAACAAAATCACTTAATGATCCATTACTCAGAACACATCCTGTCTTTAAGCAACACATGACTGTATAGTGAAATGTTAATTATAAAATCTAGGTGTTGGGTACATAGCTTTTCACCATACAATTCTTTCAACTTTTCTGTATGTATGTTTGACAACTTTCACAATAAAATTTCGGGAAAAATCCAGCAAGCAGCTTTAACAATATGGCTGTAAGACTTTTCCTTCTATTTTATTTTATTCCTAGGATGATCCTATCCAACAAGATGAGCCTATTCAATGTTTCCTCCATTTTGTTTTAAATTTAGCTTTCTCAAATATGACTTTGAGCTCTCCGACTTTTTAATGAAGTGAAATGAATCAAAATGTATTCATAGGCAGGTTACCAAGATAGTACATGTAAAGTTGGGGAGGCACAAGGGGAGGGGCTCTAAGCTCTTGGAAGTCTAGGCTCACTACCTGTATATGTCTAAATAAATGAATATTTCACACACC